AATCAGCTCAGTGTACCTCAAAGCCCACGTTAACGCTTTGGGAGCGTGTGAGCAGTGTGGCTGTGTTTAGATGTAAACAGACACTGGAAACAGGTCTAAGAAAATGTTTTCATAAACACTGACGAGGCGGTGACTTCTGTGTCACTACCTAAGGTAAGACGTGACTTAACTAGAGATAAACTAACATTACGAGTCCCCAAAAAGCAACTTTTTAGTTGCATATTTTAATTCTCAATGTACGTTTCACTAACATTTTTTAAAAGTTGTTTTTTTTATTTGTTTGTTTGTTTTTTACAAAAAGATCAAGATTAAAATACTATTTCCTAGGCCTTATCTACGGCTCAAGTACATTAGCATCAAATGGCTGAGTGCTGGCTGAGTGGGCAGATGATTACTGGAAGTCTTAGAGAACACATCTACATACCATGAAAGTTATAGGAGAGCTTTGGTCACATAGGTAGAAAACACACACACACACACACACACACACACACACACACACACAAAACAGAAGAGGACACGCATGCAATATTCTATACTAAAAATGCTTTTTAAAAGACTTGTCATACTAGATAGTATGTCCCAAAAGCCTCGAGAAACTAGTTGCAAATTATTTTTTAAGACAGTCTTGCCATGTACTTCATGGTGACCTTGAACTTACGAAGAGGGCTTTGATCATGTGATGATCCTCCTGCCTCAGCCTCCTGAGTGCTGGGATCAGAGGCCTAGTCCACCACAACTGGTCATACATTTTTAAAGGTACATATTTGTAGAACATTCATCTCCATCCTATATATTCCACTCTCACACTTTTGTTGCTGTATACTCATGCAAAATGTATGGTTATGTACATGGAAAATACAAATCATATTCCAGTACAATGAGATGAATGAAAAAGTCAATATTTCTAGTTTGTTAAACATTGTTTAAATACTATGTATACAAACTTCTATGGCAATGTATAGTATAATATTTGGCAATTTATAATCTAGTTAGAATAATTATTAAGCAAAAATACTAAATTTCATATTCTTCAAACAAGTCCAGAGAATTCACTTTTAATATTCCCAGGCCCATGGACCCTGGCCCTTTGCTTCTCACAACTGGAAATGTCTGTACACTTCCTGGTGCTTCCCAAGTACCCATGGCATTGGACCATGGGTAAACATTTTTACTTGGTTACTCGCCATGCTGCGAATCCACTGCGCTCACCCCTCTGGACATCAAAATCTGGCTGCAGGGGCAGCCTCTCATCCAGCTCCCAATTGTGGGTGCAGTTTGCCTTTCTCACCCTGGCCCCATCTCAGCCTTTCACCCAGACCTGCTCCAGGGAGAGAGAAGACCGTGGGTGGTCTCGACTCCGTGCCTACAGGGGTTTAAGCCGCAAACAAACATTATTTTACCTGTAGACTGGGCCAGTTGCTCCTCTTTGATCCTTTTAACTTGTGTCTCTGTGTTAAAGGTGGGTTTCTTGTGGGCAGTGTATCATTGGGTCTTGTTTTTAAAAGTCAAATCTGACAACTGCGGGTTCCACGTGGAGCTTGTAGACTATTAACATTTAATGCAATTTCAATAAACTTGGGTTTAAAACTCATTATTTTCTATTGTTTCCTTTGTTGTTTTGTTCCTTTTCTTTTTCTGCTGTTTCTTTTTTGTCTTTGGGTATTTTTTATTGTGTGACTTTTTTCTTTTCTTTGTAATTGACAGGTAATCACTCTGTAGTATATAGAGGGGCGAGCACTGCTGGTTCTTCCAACAGTATGCTTTTCTTAGCTGTGTTTTTTTTTTTTTTTTTCTATTTAATTTTGGAGTTCCTATTGCTGTCTTGAAGTCCATGATTTTATCTTTGCACTATTTAACCTACTAATTCCACCCACTTTGCTCTTAGAAATTATAACTTTCATTTCCAAATTTCTGAACTATGTTCTTCTCCATCCTCTCTGATTTAACCCACCTGACCTTTCTTCCAGGGTCTGAAATGTGCACAGTTGTCCATTCCCGAGGCCTTGTGGTCTGATCCCAACACCTCTGACCCTGCTGGTCAGTGTAATGGACTTGCTTTCCTTGCTCACTGTGAGTTGCAAAAGTCCTGAACATTTGCGCACAGAATGACCCAGAACGGATGTTGGATGCAGTGTGTGTTAATGGCCTTGTTGTGTGATTCACATTTTGTATTCTTGAAAATGTTCTTTAGCTTTGTTTTGGGTCATCATTACCTAGAGACATTTATCCTTCCAGGTGTCGCTTTGTTAAGTGGGATAAAGCAGTGTTAAGTCTAGGACGGGGTCAAGCTCTTCTTATATTATTCTCACTGACTGACTCTATGACTGCTGAGGCTTCTGCATGGCTGGTGGAAGCAGGTACCACCCTCGCACAGGGTCCACTGACTGCTTCCTCTTGCACTGGCCTGGGCTATTCTCACACATATGCGGTTGCCTACATGTGCTCTCTCTTCCAGCATCCTGTCCTGCAGCCTCTGGCGTGGCCTCCCTGGTCTCTTAGTTCTGACTTAACTAGGGAGAATCAGGCTACTGCGGGGTTTAGTCTCCCTGGGCCACAGGTTGGGAACTCTCTCGTGACAGAGAGCTGGGTCAGTGGGAGGCCCATTTCAGTAGTTCCTCAGAGTGGCCTGATGGCCAATGTCTGGACAGCCTGCTCATTTGGCTGACACTGTAGGAAGCTCCTGATTTTGTGCAGTTTGTCTGCTGCGCCGCTGTCTTGGCTGGGAGGTGAGACCTGGCTCTCCCTGTTAGGTGAAGCTGGGAGGCTGGCTTTGTGTGACAGGTGAGTCACACTGGGGAACTCCATTTATCTCCTTCACAGCCTGCAAATCTTATATTTTGTTGATTCGTTTGTTCATGTGTATTCTTTCAAAAAATTTGTATTAGTACTTGTTTGACATACATAATGACCGTGTTCATCACAGGAATTTGTACCTACACGTAACGCATCTTAGTTTTTTTCCCACTCACCTTCCCTCTTTTAAGCCCTTCTTACTCCATTTGCAAAAGCTTTGTTTCCCGTTTTTCCCTCTGTTTTTTTAAGAATCCCTTCCCCTTTATTCTCTCCTGTCTCCTCCGCTCCCCACCCCACTGGGACAAGCCCTTCCTGTTCCCCACCATCTGTCCTGCACTTTGCTCCGCATCTACCTTTCGGTTCCTCACACCGGAGAAGCAATGTGATATTTAAACGCGTGCGTGTGATTTACTTCACTAAAATTAGTCTCACCAGTCATCCATTACCCAAGTGTCTTGTTTATCCTTCTTTATATCACTGTGTGTTGTATTTTTAACTCTTTCAGCAGACACCTAGAAGGAAAATAGCTGGGTCTAATGGAATGTCTAGTTTTAGTATTTTAAAGGAATCTCCACATTGATTTCCACAGCAGTCTACACTCCCACCAGCAGTGGAGAAGGGTTCCTTTACCCCAAACCCTGTCAGCATTGCTTACTGGCCGATTTCTTGATGACAGACATTCCTTCTGAACATGGAATCTGTGTAGTTTTAATTTGCATCTCTTCAATGGCCCGTGACGCTGGACACCTGTTCATATGTTTATCTCCATCTGTACTTCTTTATCCTGCATCTGGGAAGTGTCCACTCACTCTAGATGCCCAGGTTCATCTTCTGAAATGCTTGTCAAATACACTCTTCCCCCACTTTGCCAACCATCTTTATCTCTGTTCTCTATCTAAAAATGCTTTACTGCTAGCGAGTTCTAGCAAAATCTTCCTGGCTTTCTTCTTCAAGCTTGCCTATAGATTACTATCAGAGCTAGACATTCCTTTTACTGCTGTTTTCCCAAGAAATTAGAAACTGAAGCCTTGCTAAATAAACAAATTACAGTTCTTGAATACCAATATATTAGGGTCTTTCTTGGCTAAAAAAAAAAAAAAATCCCACTGCTCCCGTCCACAAGCTGAGCTGCAGCTGCTAACCTGTATCATCCGTCATCGGTCTACGCGAGCCCTGCCGTTCCCTAGTGCACACGGTTCCTTTCTGACCGTCCATCACAGCCATCACTGCCTGCCAGCCCTTCCAGCGCCTCTGAGGAGGGGCCCTCCACGCTGTCCCTTTGAAGGCTTCCTCCTTGGTGCCCGTATGGGGCTCCTGCAGGCTAGGTCTCCACACATCCGCTCTGTGTTTGGACACTTCTGCTGTTTCCTACCTGAGTGTTTTGTTCTGTTTGTACACTTGTTCACATTTTGCCTTCCCAAATGGATCAGGACCTTGGCGAGACAGGAGCCATCTCTTACAACTCTGTGCAGTGAGACACAGCAGGCACCAATGCATACTTAAAAAACGGAGGCTGAGGTGATCTTGGTTACTTTACACAGGATGACACAACCAACTCATACATACCTCAGTCACCACACGTTCTTTTTGTGGTTCAAATTGTAGGATGCTACTTTTGATGAGTGTCACCTCATTATAAAGCCTTTTGGGTTTTAAATAAAATTCTACCTTACACGTCAAGGTTCTGGAATTTATTTCCTCTTATTGCTTTTATTTATCAAATAAAAAACTGTACCCCAGTTTCTATAGAATTAATTTAATATAAGCGAGGTCAGAGCAAATAGTATTTCCACAGAAGCCAAGGAAATCCTGCTACCACATAGCCAGTAAACATAAACTGTTATTTATTTATGCAAACATATTTAAAACTCTTCTAAGTTTTCAAAAGAATATTTATGCTGTTATGAACATATAAAATGGGAAATATAGTGGGTATCAAGATTTCATTCGTAGTTCATAAAAAATATTGAAGTAAAATTCCTTGCCACAAAATAGAAGAGTTGGCTGGCAGGAAAAGACATAAAAATGTCCAATTTCTACCTTGGAAAAAGCACGAAGTCTATTTTTTTTGAAAATGATAGGCAGTCCTATAAAAAATGAAATTCTGTCATAATATTTTACCAACTGAATTTAGAACACATACCTCTCACCCCACCCAGATCATTTTATTTTTCTTACTAGAAAACAGGTAATTCACATTCTGATAAAGAGCAAAAGACAAGTGCTTTATTATGAGAACTCCTCAAATAAAGTTTCACTGTGCACCTGTGGAAGTGGATAGAGGTCTGCGTCCACCTGGTGGATGGACGCGAGGTAAGAAAGGGCTACAAAGCTTCGTTCTGTTTTTCCCAAACACCACCCTTCGCTAAGGCAAGAATACACTTCATTTCAGAACAGAATTGGCACAGAAGAGCTAAGTCACAGCACAGTACAGAACGTAAAATTCACTTGGTCTGGAAGCCATTAAGCCACAGCAGGTCCCCTGGGCATGGAGCCTCCCATGCAGGCAGGAGCAAGCCTTTATCACAGTTTTATTTTTCTTTAAACCGATAACAACCGAATACAGTTTCTCAGGAGTGCGCAGATGGGGTCCACACGGTGACAGTACAGTAACTTACATATTAAATAACATTGCACAGTCAACCTCCAGGGCCAATGCAATAAGAAATAACAAGTATTAAAATGTCCCTTTACTGTCTTTACACCGCATATGTCACTAATTACAAGAGAAAAGTTGGCAAGTGCCCCATTATGAAGCTGCACATTATAGGCATAATGATGTGGCATAAGTACAAGAACTCTGGCAAAATATTCAGATCAAATGATTACACGGCAACAAACCGAACAGCCACGCACGCAGAGATCAGTGACAAACCGTGGTCAACACGCTTTGCTCATAGACACTGCCAAGGCAGGCGGGTGGCATTACTGGATGCCAGTACTTCCTGAGGTGGCATCATCTCCTAACTGACCACCAGTCAGCACTGGGGAGGACTCTGTGCCACGGGTCAGTCCCAGAGCTACCGTACTTTTGCAGTGACACCGTGGCTTCCCAGGTCACCAGAGGAAGTGCCAATCCCTTCCAGTTTCATGGCTACAATTAGTGGGTCAGAAAACTTCGCAAAGTTCTAAAGAAACTTGGCATAGGTTTAATGTTTTTCGCCAGTACTCCTTAGCTGGAGGCAAAGCTATTATTTATTTTCCTGTATTTTGTGGTAGAAATTCTAAGTGTCAACACTGTAAACGTTTTGTATCTTCTCAGCAGAACCTTGACTCATGATCAGACTAAGGGTGTAGGTAAGCGGGAATAATTCTGTGTATAATAAATGGATCTATTTATCAGCTCCTGGTTGGAATTTAACTATGATTTTAAATAACCTTTAAAAGTCCATGCTACAGTGGTGAAGAATAGTTCTGCGCACTTTTTAGCTCTGGACACAATTTTCAAAATTGTATGATGGAGGGCAGAATTTTTAAAAACCCATCAGAATGTAAATAACAGGGGAAAACATTTCAAGTCAGAGCATCAAACATACATTATGTGCAGAAATCTAGACAACTATACAAGTTTTTAAGCAATCATATTTTATTATACAACTCTATGAACAGAAAATGAACAGAAAATACACAATATACTTACCTGTACATGTGAACCTACTTTGTAAGCTACAGATATTTATTACAGCTCATATGGACTTTAATTTTACAGTTTCTGACTATAGATATAGCCTTATTGCATGGAAGGCAGGGCCTACGGGGTTCACGGGCAGACCACGTCACACATGGCCGGCACCTTCAGAACTGCATCATGGACATGGGTGCGTCTTCCCTGATCCTGCCACAGTGGGCTTCTTTACAACTTAAGCTCGTTTGCTATTTTGGATGCAATGTTCTTAAAGGCGATCGAAGTCCCTGATATCCGCTTGAAGCGGACTCCATTGAGTGACAACCGCGGCAGCTTGCAGACCTCCATCTCCCACTGCACCAGGCTGTCCTGCCGTGCGTCGCCATGCACGCAGAAGAGCAGGAACCTCTCCTTCTGTTCGTAGTCACAGTTATTTGCGTCCAGCACTTTGCGGATTTCTCGCATCATGTCATTGGGATCCATCGAGCTGGTGGTCTTCATGCTCCACGTGAACCGCAGGGACCGCGGCTTGGAGTCTTTGCCGTCTTCCTTCTCGCGCTCTCTCGGCTCCCCGGGTGCACCTCTGGAAGAAGAGGGTGACGGGACAGAAGGAAAGAAAAATTCCATTCAGGGAAGAAATCACATGCACATAGATATGCACGGTTGTGCTTCAGCGCCTGATAGAGCTGCCCACTTTGGGGTCTACCCCAACAGGTAACCTTTGCTACAGATAGCAAAGACCATGCCACACAGCTGCTGCGAAGCCACGGCCCAGAGAGGCTGTGTGTGCGGATCTCCCACAGCATTCGGCTAAGGCAGCACATCTCCCTATACACATTTGTTTGTAGAGAAAGATTTGCACCCGAAAGTGAAAATTCAAAACTTTTTCCAGTTGCCTCCATATTTTTTCTGTTCCAATTTACAAAAAGACAAAACAGAAACAAAGCCCCATAAATACAAGAACCAAAGACTACAAGCATTCTCTCTGTAAAGCACATTTTGGAAATCTAAGGAAGTTCCTTTTCTGTTTCTTCTGCATTATTTGAACAGGAGACTGCGACGGGGGAGAGAGAAAACTGCTACACTCGGGGAACTAGGGGCAGGGCTACTACCAGAGGACATCACGTCACACAGTCAGGGTCACAGTCACCGCACGCCCCTCCCATGGCTCTCAGCTCCCTACAGTCTCTACCTCGGCCTCCCAGGCCACAGTGGCCACCACTCCAGTCCCCGCCCTCCTGCCAGCCACCCACGCTCACGCCCATGGGGACACGCTGGACTCCACTGGCTGCGAGGCTGCGCATCCTACCTCCTCCATACGTGTGCTCCCTTCCTCCCAAACTCCCTCCTGTCCCCCGTTCCGCCCTCACACAGCCGCTCTGCTGCCCTGCTCTGTTTCCTCGACAGCGTGGACCATGTTCTGATAGCTGTCTAACCTAGTGACGGGCAAACCTCTTGGGGTGTTCAGTGGTACAAACAGCCTGACTTCCTGCCGCAGGGTCAGCACCAGGGCTGCAGCCAATGTCTTAGACTTGCTGCTCATCACCCGCATCTCTCCGAGACTGTCAACTCCGGGAGGCCTGGAGTTCTGTCCCTGTCATCCACTGGCAAAGTTCAGTCATCCAGAACCACCCTGTCACATGGCAGGGACCTACCACACGCCTGCAGAGTGACTCTACGTCACCATGTCAACCAATAAACCTCTGGCGAGGAATCACAGGCAGGGGAAATGAACATATTCATGATAGAGCAGACACTGTGATTAAATCTATTGAATAACTATCTGAATACAGATAAAAACTTCGGGGTTTTTTTGGGCTGGGGACTTAGCTCAGTGGCATAAGCACCTGCCTGGCAAGCGCGAGGTCAGGAGCTCGATCCCTGGTACAAAAAATAATTGTTTTTAATTGTTTCACTGTCTCACCTGTGTGTTAAGGAGTTGAAAGGAGTTTGTAATCCACTGTATAAATGTTTTCTACTAATAAAAACAGTACTATAACATCACGGATATCTATGTCTATATTTGCATCTATGGAATTTAATATACGATGTCCCTTTCATCCTAGGCAACCAGGCTTACAAACTGTGCAGAGAAACAGGTAGACAGGAGGGCTTTCCAAAGCCTGCTGAGTAAGGAGAGCTGTTTCCTCGTCTCTCCAGCATCCTTCTTGCTCACTGACCTGGCCGTGGCATTGTGGGCTCGCAGGTGACTGCCAAGAGTATCCACATCACGATCCCACAGGTGCCCGCAGCAATGGAGCCCACGCTGAGCTGGGGGTGAGGCCGGGAGCTGCCTGCCTGAACACTCATGTTAACTGCACCTAGGCTGAGACACCTACATGACTTTCCCAAGGCTGGAGAGCTAATTAACTGAAAAGACTAGAAATCAGGGGTCTTATCCCAAGCTTCTTCCTCTCACATGACTTGAAGGTGGTGTTAAGACAAGAGGCCAGCACCTGTCCCATGGACACTGTGGACCAGAGAGAGCTGCCACCCACACGGGGGGTACCTGTCCCTGCACCAGACAGCACACACCCCGAGATTGAAGGTGGGAGCTACGTGGAGTGCCCCATGCTCACCCCTTGCTCACCTGCCTCACCACACGAGTACGGGGCAGTGAGGAGGGGTGGCACCAAGCCCCTTCCCAAGGCACAGCAAGGTCAGGGAGGACACAGCCCACACTGAGACCCAGTGGGTGATCTGCAGGTTCACGCACCACACCACCCTCTCCTGAACTCCCAGTCCTCACGAACCCTGCCGTGCCCCACTATACCCCCTCACCCTTGGTCTTCTGCAAAATGGGCATCTGAAGCTGTCTGTCGTGGAGATCAAATGAGTAGCAAAGTACTCTAGAGTGTTAATAAGTCTTTGTTTGAAAACGCAACTGATAAAGGAAATGTGAAAAGTGTTTTGTAAACATTTACGGAAGATCAGTTATTAAATTCTTATGGTACTGAAATGAGGTAGCACATTAGGAGGATACAAGCGTAGGCAGATTAGCTGCAATATCATGGTGGCCCCGTGACCCTGCATACTGTCAAATGTCTCCAAAGAAATTCAGGGGAACCACAGGCCTGATGCAAGTGAGGACCAAGGAGGGCGAGTTGAGAGCAGTGGGCCGGGCCACCTGGCAGGCAGAGGGAAGGTGACACTGCCTGCCTGTCTCCCTCCCAGGTTCTGAGTTCTAGAAAGAGTGCACCAGCGATGATGCATACATACAAGTGTGGCATGTTAACAAACCAAAACCTCACTTCTCACACTCAACACTATCCCATCCGAGGCCGGGGATCCAGCCAGAGGGTTAAGTGTCTGCCTGGGAAGTGCATGGTCCTGAGTTCAATACCCAGTACCAAAACACAAACAAATAAAAACTATTCCACCAAGTTCTAATGCATTCATGTGAACAAGTTTTAACAGAAGTCTATAGGAGAACACTTTAAAATTTTTTAAAAATTATCTTTCATATTTCAAATAATTTAAAAAGTAGAAATTAAATCAGAGGTTTTAATTCAGCTGTCAAAAATAATTCCTCAGTGAAGCCAGGCATCACCTTCCCAGGGGACAACTTGTAGCTTCTAGATCGCACTGTGCACCTCAGCACCTGGGCACACCCAAAAGAACTGAGCACTATACTGCCTGAATTTCAGAGTCAGAGATGCACACTTCCATACCACTGGGTCGTGGCTGCAGCAGTGCAGCTGGGTCCTGGCTTATTAGAAATACAGATGTGCAGCCCACAGGCCCCCGGCCCCTGAAGAACAGGTCTGCAACCTCTCCAAGTCCTCCCCGTGGTCCTCACTCCACTTGCATTTGAGATCTATTGGAGAAGGACTAAACCAGAGTTAGACCGCCAAACTCCCTGAAGGATGCAGGACACAGATGAAAGGTTCAAGGCTGAATGCTCACCCGAGAACCAGGGCTGGTGCCAAACCATCCTGTACCAGCCACCCGCGCCCCATACCACCTGTGCTGGGCTGACTGGGCTGAGTGGGCTGAGATTAGTCATAGTGCACCAGTGAGCGAGCTCAGGAAGTCCTGCTCTGTTAACTTCCACCTTGACTGTCGCAGCACACAGAAAGGCCGTCTGCTTTCCAGGTAAGGCCCTCCATCCAGAGGATGTTGGGAAGACACAAACTTGGCCCTGATTCATGCACACATTGAATACCAGGCCACACGGGAAACCCAGCCCCACACAAAGCTTTGCACACATGCTGCCCTGGGGACCGGCGTGGAGCAGGCGGTGGCCCCTTACCTGGACGGGTCCGTTCTGCCGCTGGCTTCCCCTTCACTCGGATCCCTCAAAACAAAGTGACAGAGGAGACATTTAATGACAGAAGTGAGAAACGTGCCAGGAAACCCTGCCTCTAACAGGACTTTCAGATTGGTTTGCTGTGCAGACACCCACAGGACAGCTTTGCTGAGCACTGGTCTAACCCACTCCCCACCCTCCACTGTGACCCTATGTGACCACCTGAGTGAGGGAACCCTCAGCCACATGAATGAACCCTCTTTTGGGTTCATTCAGTATAATCTGAAGATAAAATTAATAATTGTGAGCAAGAACAAACTTCCTGTTTGTTATATATAAGTCTAGTGGTTGCTCAACTAAGAAAATATGTAAATTAACCTTGTAATTAGAAACAAAGTTCAACGCATAGGTATTTCTGAAAATAAACACCAATTTTTAAATAAACAGCCAACTTGAGAAGTTCTGCTAACAACACATGCACAGTAGTCATGAGCTGACTGAAAAAAAATTGAGTCTAAAATCATGGATTTTGTCCTCAGCAAAAACACTGACCTAATCAGGAGCTGAAGGGAACGGCTCACAGGGAAGCACACATCCTGCTGCTGCACAGCTCCCGTGCCACGTGGGATGCCGATGTCCCAGTGCTGTGGGCAACCGTTTCCCTCTACAGCAGCGGCAGGGGTTTCCTACCCTCCATACCGAGGGCTCAGCTCGACTGGCAACAAGGCCCAGGGTCGCCAGACCCAGACGACGGCTCTTCCGCCAGACCGGTCAGCAGTGGAATGCACCTGCTTGGGTTCCTGCTCTGCGTTATGCGATGGCCAGTGGTCTACTGTCCACTTCTGCAAGGCTGCTAAGCCTTGAGGTATCGATGCCACACCCTCCCTTCACCTCCCGTGGGCTTTGTAGGGATCAGGACATGAGGAGGTGTGGCCGGGACGTGGCACCTGGTGAGGTGTGTCCACTGCACTGTAGGTCACTAAGCGGTCAGCACGCACACATACAGACACTGGCTGTTTAGGGAAATGGGCCAACTATACTGTTCTACTGTATTAGAAGTTTATCATAATAAGTGTTATCAAAATAAATATTTTTGTTTTATTTTTATGTTAAAATAACTGATTTATGTTAAAATTTCACGAGGTTAAGTAAATCTATGTGATTCTAGTATATAGAATTTTTATACAAAGAGGGAAAGAAGCAAACTGCACATATTACTAATGGCAATTTAAAAGTATGTCTAAGATAAAGACTGTTTAGGGATTCATGCAAACTCATATTTAATTCGTCTTCTTAAAATCAAGGCTTTTAAAAGGGAGTTCATCTTTTGATTGAAGCACATATTTTTTATATATATAATTTTTGTTCTTTCCCCCCTGTTGTATAGAAATTTAAAATTCTCAATTTGTCCCTCTTTTTCTCTGATAAGGAAAATGACTTTTTGTATTACTCTATTTTTCTTTTCTTCCAATTTCTGCAAAAGAGCGGCTCTCACGAAATTTCACGAAACCATTTTGGAACAAAATCCTTGCAAAGCTCAGAGACAAAGCCCAGCTTCCCAAGGGTACTAGCGGGAAAGAAATGTGGTGCCTTGTGGCACTGACCTGCGAACAAACTTGGAGGTGATCTTGCTGATGATGCCGGTGGACGTGCCCCGCCGCGCGTGGGTGAAGGCCCCCGTGTCGTGGGACGGCGAGGCGGGCGGCCCGTTGTGCGCGGCGCTGCGGCGCTCGCGGAGCTGCTCCCCGTGGAAGGTGCTGCGGCTGGAGCTGCCCCGGGGGAAGCGGGTGCGGTCGGGGGTGCTGGCGCTGATGCTGTGCGCCGAGGGTGAGGCGGCAGGCACTCTCTGGGGAGCACTGCGGGAACAGGGGAGACAGGGTGAAGGGTCAGGCGAGTGCCAACCCGGCTGCCTCTCCCATCTGAGCTGCTGGCAGGGATGCGGGGCTCACAGCTTGGCTGCAGGTTGTGTCCCGGGCAGGGGGCAGGGCACAGGGTCTCCGGTTAGTTTTAGTTAAAACTCAACACTTCACAAAAACGTGGTCACTAAAGATGAAATTACTGAGCTGGACACCAAGGCAGATACTTATCAGCACTGGGACGCCCAGCTGCGGTGCTGCCGTGGATTTTCCATTTCCCTACAGGCTGTGTGTGTTCTTTCACTGCAGGCTGACAGTGTACAGTCTCAGATGCTCCAAAACACACACTTCCTAAGCGCTGACACGGACGTCACAAACGAAAAATTCTTGTGACAAGTCACAGGCAAAGTGAAAGAACTCTAAAAAATTAGTTTACGAAGTTACTGTCCGGCTATTGGCACAATGTATACAACAAACATACATGAATTTATCTTTACACTTGGTGGTCACACCCAAGTATTTTAAAATCTGCAAAAATTCAAAATCCAAAACACTTTTGGTCCCAGCAACTTCAGGTAAAGGATACGAGACTCAGCGTGCATTCTTAGGCTACTTAGCCATGTGGAACATGAAGTTTACTGTTTTTCAAAGAAAAAAAATGTCTGAATAAAATCTCCTCCCTCTTCTAATTCCAGGCCTCAGTGACAGCACAAGGCCACGACAGCACTAAGACTATGGCTAACAAAAATCTACTCACAAAAAGGGCTACAATGTTCTGCAGGTAGAGAACTCCTAACGCAGAGCTGTGTTTCCAAAGCTGCACAGAATCTTGGAGTTCGCCTGGCTGTAGGTAACAGGGGAGCCAGAGATTTAGGGCCTGCTGTGTTATGTGTTTAATTAGCAAAACAATTTGGTTGACTTAAATGACAAATTAACCAGTAACACTTGACTTCACGGCTAGGTTGGGCAGCATGCGCCCCGGCCTGACTCTGCCCGAGACACAGCCCGCTCTGGAGGCTCTGGCCCCTGTCTACTCCCCATGACCCGCAGCAGCAACTTCTAGAGCAAGAAGAAGAGGAGCTGAGGAGCAGTTACCCAGGCCGGTAAGCTTCTGAGCCGTCTTTGATGGTTGGCAGCGGGACCTTGATGGGATGTCCAGACGTGGACATGGACTTCTGGTGGCGCGGCCGGGTGGAGGGGCCAGCAGAGGCCGCAGCAGAGCCCGCCGAGGGAATGCTACTCACAGACATCTCTGTGAGGCTTGCATGGAAGCATTCCATGGAAAACAAAACGAAACAGAGCAGAGGAAGTACGGTTTACTAAAAGCCAAGGAACCGATACTTAAAATCTGAGCTGACCAACAGTTTTCAAGACTGAATCACTTTAAGTAACCCAACATTAGGCACTGTTGGTGACTGATGAACAATTAACAGTCTTCATAAAAGTACACAGGGAGCAGGGTGCAGAGGCACAGGCCCGAAACCCCAGCTCCTTGGGAGGCTGAGGCAGGGAGAGCCCAAGATTGAGTCTAGCGAGGGCAATTTAGTGAGACTCCATCTTAAAATCTTACAGAGCGGGGTGGGGGGGGGTCTAGCTCAGTGGTAGAGCACCTGCTCAGCACGTGTACCGTCCTGGTCCAATCTGTAGTACAGAAAGTAAGTGTGCAGCCAGAATTTATCACTGTCCTCCCGGGGATCTTAAAAACACTTGTGTTCACGTAACTCTAAAGGGTAAGAGACTGCTTCTGTGCGTATGTGAGGGTTGCAGATGAAGTGGTTCAGACTGGAGATGTCTTAACTCCCAGGTGACAGCTCTGTGCGGCAGGCCCTAGATTGTTCCTGTCGTGCCACACCCTCACCACCCCAAAATCACCATCTCCGGGAGCCTCCAAACACAAACCCTAGGTTACTGCTTAGCACTCAGTACGGGAAGAAAGCTAAGTGGGAAATCAGTTTCCAGCTCTCTGGCCTAAGGGATCTGGTGTCCACAGCAGACAGGCTGACCTCTGGACACCTCACAGGGACACTTCTTCCCACGACTCTATCGGAGAAGGAAGAAAGACGAGCTAGGCTAAGAACACAAGCAGTCGAGGACAGAATCCAACCCGGGGTACAAATAAGATGCATTTCTTGAAATAATAAAAAAATTGACTTATTATCATTTAAAGGAAAACACTTCAAAGAAGTTCACGGTTCTGACTGGCCGGTTAAGATGGCCATGTTTCCTTAGAGGAAGTAAAATAGACCTTATTTGGGTAAAATGACTTGGTGGGGGGCGGTTTGTTCACCTCCTGCTCCCCCTATTTTCCCACCGTCCAGTCTGGTACCCTGGCATCTGTGTTTCCTTTGCTCCTGGCCTGCTTATCTACAGGCGTTTCAGCTGGACACCCCGGGGACGGGCGACACCCACCTGCTGTCTTTTCCGTTCTGCAGCGCCGTGTACCGATCCGTGGTCCTCTCGCAGACGTATGTGTTTCTTCTTGCCATGCTGCCTCCGGTGTACACATTGGTCTTTGAGAAGAAAAGGAGCAATTTTAAAACTCTAGCAGCATTTCTGGTGAGCCAACACATGGTGGAGCTGCCGGGCTCCAGAACATTAACCAGTGAGACTCTCACAGGAACGCGGGGGCCCTCGCCCTCTCTCTCTGGCCTCCTCCTTCCCCCATTCCCTTTCCTTTTCACATTTATATTTTCGGAGTGAAAGCACAGCCTGGAAAACAAACTCAATCCTGCCTCAGCTCATACCCTGCAGCAGCAGCAAGGAACAGGACTGCCACACTCTCCCTCCTGTGCCTGAAGCTGGGAAGCCAGCTGGGAAGCCAGAGGCCCAGGCCATGAAGACGACCTGCCGTCCCCTGTACCTCCTGGGACCCTCCCTCCTGCTACCAGGACAGCTGGACACCAAAGCTCCAGACCAAAGGCAAGCCCTCGTGAGCCACTCTGAGGGGGATCCCCTCGAGTCCCAGGTGAGCCAGGAGGCAGGCAGGGCCTGGGGAAGGAAAGGGACAAGGAGCAGGGACAGGGAGACAGGTGTGACTCCTACCACATACAGCCCTGGGCCTTCGACCCCTGCCTGCCAAAACTCTGCCATCATTTATGATACCAGCACACAGGAAAGACTTCAAAGAAGCCTAGGATTCTCTTCTCTCTCATCCTTACCCCACAGAAAACTAGCCCTATTTTTGGCTAATCTAGTTTTACTGTTCTTTAAAATACATAATTGTATTAAAATACATAAAATACATATAATACATAACTTAAAATACATAATTCACTCTTGACTGAACAGATTTTAGGCTAAAATACATAATTAGCCTAAAATCTGTTCAGTCAAGAGTGCCAGAAAGTTAATAGCTATTTACTAGAATTCACTGGGAGAAGGAAAAAAACTTATCAACCAGTGCAGATTAAAAACCTTTCAGGAGTGCAGTTTCCTAGGGGGAAGGAGTTTTGTCACCAGTTATGAAAAAAGCATAAATTAGAAACTATAAAAGTATGGCAGGAAAAGAGGCCAAGATTAAGAAGTTTTAGGTGAGACTTGTTGTCACCTGAGGACAGGGAAAGAGGGTGGCTCATTATGAAACTGACTGGCATTAGGGTTCGTTAAAAACTAGAGGTGTCATGTGCCCCTTGCAGTTTGAGACACGTCATCTCATCACCTTCCTTACCTAACATGTCATTAACGGCTGCTCCTGGGAAGCGTCGGCGTATAGAGCTGTGCCCATGAAGCATGTTTTATTGTGACAGTAGATCCCTAATTTCTAAAGGTCTGAGTTATTCCTTACTTTGTTCTTATAAGGTATGAAGCAGGTTAAATTGTCTAGAAGCTTACTGGAAATCTGAAATCTAGAGGAAAAATTCTAGAAATAATAGGAAGCAGGGAAGATTGCTAAACTGCATAGAGATGAAGAAAAGGCTGTGTAAAGTCACCCCTGGGCAGATGGGCCAGTTCCGGAATACCAACATGGAGCACGTAACTTTGGTGACATGGTCCTCGGAGTCATAACGGAGCAAACTCCCAGTCAAACCACCCAGCCGAGCACAGGGGTGGATTCCCAGGTCAGGACGCCCCTCCCCACGCCCTGCCCTGAGCCTCTGATGCTTGGGGCACCCAGGAGGGTAGCTGAGGACACAGTTATGCAGGGGGCAGTTAGGAGACACAGTCTCCCTGATTCACCAGACAGGTGTGCCCATAAAACCAGCTCTCATGGAGGATCCTCTGAGGTCAGATGCCCCATTCTGGGGCTTCCTAGTTGGCGATGGGGTTGATGAGGGTTTGGGGACGGTGGAAGCGACACTTCCCAGCCCCTTGAACTGTGGTTAGTCACAGTGACATTAGCTACAGTGTCCCGTAATCACTGTGACGTTTTAGAACTGCTTGGGTTTCTCTGAAAGAAGTAATTCTCCCCCCGGTTTTCAAAAAGTTAATTTTTTTGGTGGTACTTGATAAGGGTTTCACTAGGTATATTTTTATATTTTTATTGTACTACTGGTTACCCTTACCAAGTAGTCTGATAATGAACAATTAATTACCCAAATTAACCATTAAGTTTAAAAGTCTCGGGATTAAATGTAGAGTTGCTTTACCAGAATCACATACTGGTTTAGTGAGTAAGGATCCTGGACCATGGCCGTATTGGTTTGCAGTTAAACTCTCGCCCAGACGCACCCCTGTTAGTTAATAAACACAATTTCGATGCCTGCTATGCACTTGGGCACCGGTGCTTGTGGGTGAGGGGAACTATGGTTTCTGAGGGGACCGTGGGGAACAGAGCCGCGCAGCACAGAGCCCCAGAGCTGCACCCTGGAAACAGCAGTGGGAAGGCTCAGGACTTGAAGCCATGCAGGAAAGGGGATGAGCCCCGGGTGCTGTGCACAGACAGGGCTGGGGCCACGGCGCTGGTGCGCAAGGTGAGAAGTGACCCACTCAGTGGAGAGACAGGCAGCACAGGTTGGGGATCAGTGACCAAGCTGGATCTTTGTGTTACGTGGGTGATGACAGTGGCAACTGTCCGTGGGCTGGCAGGACATTATGGCATGCTTGGGAATATGGTGTATAGAAGGTTAAACCTACGTATTTCCAAGCATATCAGCTGGAAGGGCAGCAGTTCTATCTAGTGACTTTTAAGGCCGTTATGTGTCTCTACTGCCTAGATGAGGAGGTGATAATGTAGTGACTATTCAAAGGACAGCATGAGATTTCACCTAACTAAAGCCCAGGACCCGAGTCTAACCCACCGCGATGAGGGCACACTGGCCTTTTTGTACATTGTTCTGTGCGTGTTGTGTTCTTCCCAGAGGCGTGATGAGAGTGTTTCCTGTTTCTCCTGCAGTTTTGTTCTCCAGTTACACATTGGGCTTTGAGAAGACCCTCAGCTCCCAGGCCTGTGCTAGCTTACCCCGACTGACTTCTTCAACTCTCTCTGCCATCTGCTTGACGTGGCACGGGCTGATCTCCCCCAGCCCAGCCTCTGCTGCCCAGGGTGTGGGCTCTAACTCTCACTCCGTATATGTTACACATCCCTTGCACACACTGCAGTACACTGTTCATTGCTCTCACCCCCGTGAGCTTTCTTGATGCTCTTCACTCTCTCCTGTGGCCTCAACTTCCCCTCTAGCTCCCACTGTATGACTTCTGTAGTGTGCGTCTCCCCTGCAGAGTGTGGGCATCCTCGCACCTGGGCTGCTCCCTGTGCCCCCCGCCCCAGCCTGTGTTAGGCCTGCAGTGCTGGGATGACCCTAGCCTCTTGGGCCTGTGCTGTGCCCAGGGGCCTCATCCCCAGCTCTGGATGATGCTCTGTAGGTGTGAGACCCAGTGCACCAGAATCATACTAAGTCACTGCCATGCACAGGAGAAAACAGGGCAGAGGGTTCTTCTGTGGAAAAGCTATGCTGTGACAGTCCCTTTTGTTGTGTCTGTAGCCTTTCTGAGGAGCTTCACTCTGTTTGTCATGTTCTTCTGATTGTGACTGACTTGGACACACTTAAGACAACGAACGATAAAGATCTTACAAAGCACCCTGACCGCAGCAAGGGGTAGTCTGTGGCAGGCCAGGGCAGGCACTCACGCTGGGGACGGTGGAGGACTTCTTCCTCTCGGGGCCTGCGAGTGGACTGGCTGTCACCTCGCTCTTTGAGCCCACTGTGATGCTGCCCAGTTTCCGGGCCACGTCTTTGTCCCACTCCTCTTTCTGCTCGCTCTCCACACTGTTGGCCTGGGGCCTCTTGGTGTAGGACACGGCGGGGGGGATGGATGGTCCGGCTGCAATTCAATAACAGCACCGTGAGCAGAACAGAGGACACGCTTTCTCCTTTGAGCAGGATCTCCACCGGAGATGTCCGCGTGGGTGGGCTTCATCCTCTGCACTAAGCCTCCTCCATGTGACTGCAGAAGTCAGGGCTCAGCCCTGCACATGGCACTGGTTCTGTCCTGCAGGTGACGCCCTGTAGTTGTGTGGCTCTGGGGAGCTGGGGAGCTGGGGTGTGTGGTGTGCATGTGGCGCTGGGCTTAGGAAGGCCCGGCCCGTCTTTCCCTGTCCCCACATGTCTGTCCCTCACCATGATCGCTGAAGCGCCGCTGCTTCTGATTGGCCGAGATGCTTCGCTGGACCTTCAGGTGCGCGGGGGACTGCAGGGTGCTGTTGTTGAGGTCACTGCTGGGCCGGGACCTCTGACTCAGGTTTCCGCTGGACAGCGCCTCACCACCTTCAAACTATGGGAGAAGCAAGAGCAGGGTTTTAAAACAGAAAGAGTTTACTGCACACTAACGAAGTGCAGGCCTGTCTTCCTATACAACTTAGAACTGGGGCAGGAGTTACCAGCTGTGCAAGCCAGGTGGCTTCAGGTAGAGCACTGCAAGCTGGCGAGGTGGAAGGGGCCCGGGCAGATAGCACCGCGCGGGCCTGGCACCTTCTGCGGCTTCCTGTAACCCTCAGTTTAGTTAACTGAGGCTTTATAGGAACTGAAGAAGAGCTGTCAATTACTGCACAGTGGTTACATGTGGACTCCAGCTTTTCATAGGGGTTACTTTGTTTAATCATTACAACAAAGCTGCTGTGTGTTAACCCTCACTTCACAGCTGGAAAACGTGAGGTTAACAATCACAGGACACTTCTGAGATTCACACTTAGGATGGAATTTAATATGCTAAACACATAGTATCTATGTATCTATATCTACTCCATATCTACTCGATACTGTATCTAATCCTAGTGCAGAGCACAAAGCCTAGCTAGATAGGTAGTGCATGTGTACACACATCAAACACTCTATTAAAATATCTATCTTTCCATGCTTTATGCTTTGACCCAAGATTATTTTGTTTGGTTTTCTCCACATATACAATACAAAATTAGGGCTACTGGCTCTGATCAGGAAGTCCACCTTTTTGAGACTAGTATGGGATACCAGAGGTTGACACACTGTCGCCCCTGCAACGCAAAAGTTGTTTGTTGCCAATGGACATGGACGGAATCCCTTTTCTGGGCCACCTGAATGCAGGCAGGGATGTGCACAGGGCCAGGGCTGTGTAGGTCCTGGTGACAGCAACCAGACAGCACGGAACTCACAGCTGCCTGCCAGCGACTACCCCATGGGCCTTACAAGTGTCACCACACACAGCCTCTCAGCCACCCAGGAGATGAGCACGCCGAACTCCTCACCCTACAGCCTCGTAGCCCAGGGGCCATGGGATGGGAGACCCTGCGGCTGAACAGGGCACTGAACCCGTTCGTCAGGTCTGGGCTCCTACTGATGACAGTGGCTTCTCTAGTTCAACCCGAACAACCATGGCCCTGCTGGGTTTCCATAGTTAGTACTTCCCTTGTCTTTGTAAACAAACTAAAGGTCTCAGAAATGGACCTCAGAAAATGTGACCAGAAACTGTTACAGACTAAAAATCACTGCCTGTGCCATTCTGACTTGGTTTCTTGGCCGTATGGAAGTGTCCCCAGCACGGTCCCCCCGAAGGTCCTCTCCTCCTCCTGACAGCGCTGCTGGTGAGCCCTTGGTGCAGTGCAGGTGCAGTCCTCCAAATAGCCCCGGACACTACCATGTGTCTCATGGCCGCTGCCACTAGGTCTCGTCCCATCCCTCCTGCAGGCTGAATCTCTGCTCCCCAGCACTCCGACAGCTCTCCAGTTCACACAGCCTGAACTGTGCCCCACCTCCTGATGGCCTGGTCTTCCCCACCGTGGGCTCTCATCCCTTCTACTGCTGGTCCCCAAGGACCATGGCTGCACGTCTGAGGTGTCGCACGCAGACCACCTCGGAGGTGGCCCTGGCTTGTGCCTCATCTCCTAGGACCTCCTCACCAACCCCTGCACCTTCCTGGTGACAGTGCTCTCTGACCGAGATGTCCAGTTTGCCTGTTCTCAGGTATTTACAGTAATACCAGTGGGGAGGGGAGGAGCTGCTTTAAGCACAGCCTATGTGCAGGCTTTTCTGTAAAACACCTCCAGCGGTGGCTTTTTCTTCTTGAAACTGGGTCTCACTATGCAGTTCAGGCTGGCCTCGAGCTCACATTGTAACCCAGGCTGGTCTTCAACTCACAGTGATCCTCCCGCCTCAGCCTCCCAAGCGCTGGGACTATAGGCGTGCAGCACCACCACGCCTGGCTTCTGCTGTGTAATTTTCTTTTCTTTTCTTTTTTTTTTTTTTTTTTTTTTTTTTTTTTGCCTTTTTCTTTTTATCAGTACCAGGGATCGAACTCACGACTGCCTGCTTGCAAGGCAGGTGCTTATGCCGCTGAGCTAAATCCCCAGCCCCTGCTGTGTAATTTTCAACAAACTGTCAGTGCTCTGGCCTCCATTCCCAATCTCAATTTATACCTCTGCTTTCCTGAAGCACCTGTGCTCTAGGGGGCACCACTGGTTCCAGGTCCACAGCCCCGAGCCACAGGGAGCCGTACACCACGGGGCTCCCACCCTGGATAGCCCTGCAGACACGCGTTTCGGCTTAGAGGCTCTCCCTCCTGTGACCCGGCCACCCTGGATGCACAGGCGGCTCACGGAACAGCTCTGGGGCAGTGTCTGAGGACAGGGCTGACAGCCGCCTGGTGGCTTGGCAGGACGGAGGCCGCTCCTCCACGATCTCTCCTGTAACCTGGAGATGCCATTAGTTTACAGCTCAGCACTGGGCTCTGCTGAATCGTGACAGTCAAGGACATGTTGATGCTTTCATTATTTTGACACCACGAAGAGCACAACCCATTCAGACTTAGCTGTCACCATCCTCGGGCACACTCCACACTCATTTAAGAGACAAAACAACTCACCTCAGGAGGCTTTCGCCCTAGCAGAATGTAAGTCGCCATAACTTCATCGTACTTCTGATTTATTAAGGCATCGTTTATTTCATCTCGTGCAAACCCCATGGTGACCATAACATCTAGGAAGAAAAAGAGGCAAATGTCCTAAAATGGGTGTTAGTAAACAAATCAGCAAAAATGGGCAAATCCACCAATCCTGGAAGTGAAAATTAAGTCTTAAAATTTTAAAGTACAGTTTTCATAACTAAAACACATACAGTGCCTGTGTCCTAGGTCAACCTGCATACACCGAAAATCATAGCTAATACACATTCGTCATTTTCTGCAGAATTACCTATACTGTGGATTATGCACTCAGGACCTGCTCAATTTCTCACTGCCTCAAACACTGCCACGCTGGCTCCCTTCGTGCCCCCAGAGGCTGCATCTGTCTGGGGCGCACACACGCCTCTTCTCTGGGTGCAGTCCCTCCCCGGGCACCCTCGCTGTCACATAGAGCTCTCTCCTCTCTTCCCCAACTCCACTCTCTCTGGTCTCCAGTAGACTGATTCTCTCTGGAAGGCCTGAACTCCATGTTATCTCTGGGCAGGCCCCCGATACCCCTGGCATCCTGCCCTCCAGCCGGCTGAGAGCCCATGAGAGGCTGGCTGAGGGTCTGGGGGAGATGCACTTTGCTCGGAGGTGGGAAAGGGGGAGGGAGAGTCCATGGTCAACTCTGGTCACTCAGCACTTCTGGATTCTTCATAAAAATGCTGACAAGCATCAGTCTGGCCAATGCTGAAATCTCAGGGGAGAGAGTGGAAAGGAAAGAATAAGACAAATAAAATTCCAATGTTTAATATTATCATTAAGATGATAATGAAAATCTTCATCCAATAGAAGCTGCTTTCTTCTCTGTTCTTAAACACTACTTTGGAAGCCTCAAGAACTCACACTTGGAGCCCACAGTAGTACCTGTGCTGATATTTAAATACTCACCTATTCGTTTAGTGTCATTGAAATCCGGTTCAGGCTCCGTGTATGGCTTTAGTTCTTCTTCTTCATGACCTGCATTCATCCATCGGTCTTTCATTATTTGCTAGGAAATAAAGTCTGTGTTATGTTTGGTCAGTCACAACGTTCAGCCACCTAGGGCTCTCTGCAGAGATGGAGAAGCTTTTAGAGCTGTCCGCCCCACTTGCTCTGTAAGAATATCTGAAATTGATCGGTTCACTCCGAAGGGCCACGCGGCATCTTCAGATAAAGTGGCTGTCTGGTTACCAGTGCAGCAAGTGGCAGATGCCCTGGGGTCAGAGCATTCCGTGGCCCTGGTGCCCGCCATGCCACACACTCCCCAAATGTCATGACTCAAAGACCGGCTCTCCCTCCCTCGTTTAAATGTGCAAGACTTAACATAAGGACCATGGAGTTTAACCTTAGCTACATATTTTTATATTCAAGATTAATGGGAAGATTCTATTTTTTCTGTTCTTCAACTAAACACATGCCTGTATTTAAAAATCATCATTTATTAAAATATCAGGACAGAAGAGATTACGAGGATTGGAGATCAGTGGGGATAACAGAATATGGGAAGGAGAGACAGTCAAAACATTAAGTCTAGAGGCCAGTGTGGGGACAGTGCTGACCTAGATTACCACAGCAGATGAAGTAGAGGCTGTGGGATAATGAGGGGGTGGGCCGACACCCTAAGACAGCCAGCAGGGTGACCTGCAGGACAGGAAAGAATACTTATCCAGCATACACTGATTAAGGATCAATACCCAGAATATGCAAAGAACTCCTACAACCCAGTAAGCCAAAAATGAGTAATTTGATTTTAAAATGTGTGAAGGAAGTAAAGCGATATTTCTCCAGAGAAGACCCAACAGTGGCCAAGTGGAGTATGAGTGGAAGCTTACACAAGCCCCTAGCCATGGAAGAAAGCCACAGCCCCAGGAGATGCCATCCCCGGCCCAGAGGGTGGCCACTGTGCAAAATGCTCAAAACAAGGGCTCCGAGGACGCGGGCAAGGCCGAGGGCAGCGTGAGGCGGTACAGCTGTTATGGGAAACAGCAGGAAGCTCCCTCAAAAACTCAGCAGAACTAGCACACCTTCCAGCAGCCCACTCCTGGGTGCTTACTCAAAAGCACTGGGAACAGGCGCTGAAGAGTCTGCACACCACATCCGTGCAGTGCTGAGAGGCAGAAGCAACCTGACCGCTCGCTGAGGGGGAAACAAGTGAGGAACGTGGGCTGCCTGATGGCAGAATACACCCACCTTCCGAGACACCTGCTCCGCCTGGAGGAACTGGGGGCTCCACGCTGAGCCACGGGAGCGACCCCAAAAGGCAAACCCCAGTCACTCCGGGCTCTCAAGCTGCTGTCCAGCTCACAGAAACATAAAGCAGCGGGGAGGCTGAGCGAGGGCCGCTGAGGGAGGGGGCTCTCTATGGGTCTGGAGGTTTGATCACAAGGTGAGACAGCTGTGGAGAGCCAGGGTGTGACAGTACACACACGCTGCAGAGTGCACTGAGAGTGGCGAAGAGGGAAGAGTGTGTGTGTGTGTGTGTGTTTACTCCTCAAAAAAGAGACAGCCTCATCGGGACCTTGGTATGGTCACAGTCAGCTGAGGACTGGCTCCCAGGGGTCAAGGCAGTGTGTGCAGGAGACACCAGCTGGCCTCTGAATATTCTGCCTTAATTATAAATCTCTAACTTTGTGACTACCAAGGTGTAGATGTTGTACAATTGTGTTCTTTTTTCAAAGTCTATCTAATACCTCTTCCAGCTCTATAACGCTGTCCGCCAAGAGCTGACTAAAGGGACAAATGACATCTACACATGCATCCTTCGAAGGCTGACCTTTGCCTGTACAGGTGATTTCCATCCTTCCTTCACCCAAAGGTGATCACTAGAAGACAGAGCTCCAAGCTGGTCTTGACAACCAGACCTGTGAGAAGGCGGGTGCTGGGTGGGAGGCTGTTCCCAAGGCTCTCAGACCCATGATATGTATCACTGAAAATCTGTAGCTAATTCAGGGACTGAAAACTATCACCATGCAGATGTGAACCTGTCAAAGAGATCACCGCCAAGTTCACGTGCGGTAACCACTTTTTTTTTTTTTTTTTTTTTTTTGTCTTTTTCATTTTTATCGGTACCGGGGATCGAACTCACGACCGCCTGCTTGCAAGGCAGGTGCTTATGCCGCTGAGCTAAACCCCCAGCCCCCGCGGTAACCACTTTTGCAGTGGCAATTAGGAACATTCCCCAACTAACTGAAACGGAAGGAGACCCACTGCAAATTGCAAAGTCACAGTGCTACCGTGCCAAGAGTCTTTAGCAATTATTCGTCAATAACAATAAAGAGCTGACAGGCTGCACCTCAGCAGGAAAACTTGGCACAGCAGAGCTGCAAATTCCTGCCACAGCTACTCCCCTGTGCCCTCTCAGACGGTACTGTGACGGGGGGGGGGGGGAGTCCGGAGCTAAGCCTGGTGGAGTGATATTTTTTCCTCCTGTACCATGGAGGTTTGCTTTCCAATATGGTCAGACACGGTCTGAGAACATTAGGTGGGCGATCAGAGGCAATAGATAACGCTTAAGTTTTCTAGTGCGTCCCAGGCTGGAGTCTAACCACGTTATCACAGTCAGCTTGACCACCCGGCAAGACATTTCCAGGACAGGAAGACAGACCCTGCTCAGGTAACTTATTCCAGGGTACCCTCACTATTGTATTTTATTGTGGGTTATCTCTGTTAACCTCCTACTGGGCCTGGGTTTTAGATTAAGCTATTTTGTAAGTGTGTGTTTGGGAGAAACTATACCCAGGGCTTGGTGTAAGAGTCAGCCCTGGTGACCCAAGGCCTTTGGGACATTTCCCCAGAAGACTGGGGAAACAGCCTGACCCACAGATCATCAGCTCGAACTTGTGATGATCAAATGTCTGCATAGCTAGGACTGGCTTTGGAATTCAACTCACAGAACTCCGCAACTTCTATACTCAGCACTTCAATGTTAATGATGAAAGATGAAATACATGACCACCGAAAATTAATCACCTATAAGACAGAGGCACATCTTACCTGCTCAAAGACATTTATAAGAGCTGTTCTCCCCACAAAACTTTGACATGTTCTCTTTATGCTGCTTGTTACCTGAGTAGCTGCTCTAATTCTGAGGGTTTGTAAACTGACTGTCAGGTAAAGTGTGCTCTATGCAAAAGAGGGGCATAGACCTGGGATGTGAGAGATGTGCTCTCTGAAGTTCTAGAATTTTGAAACTGACATGAGCATCAACAACTCTTAGTTCAGATAATTTTTTATGAATAACAGTTGGCAGTTTTGAAAAGCAGCGATATAAAAACAGGCTCTTAACTGTATACCTTCTCTGCTAAAATATTATTAAAACAACCTTATACTCTCAAAGAAAAAATGTTTTGAGCTTAGAAATAGAAATAGTCCCATTTAAACAAATGATTCAATGGAAATACCTGTTAATTGACCCACTGCTAGAAAGTGTTTAGAGCAATCTCCCGAGGGACATCACCACTCCTTAGCTTCCACGTGACACAGCACCCTTCATGAAGAATACGTGGTGAAATAAATTACAAAGTCCGGCTATGTGGACCGCTCTGCACGCAAGGAGGCTGGCTGTAAGGCCGCCTCCTAACCCAGAAATGCAGGCTACGCTGAAAAAGACGCAGTTTCAATGAGCTTATTCTCTGAATTTTCTTCCGCCCAACTAATGCGAACAAATACAGAAAAAGCACAAGTGTATAATATATGGTGAACCTTTGAAGTCACCTCACTGCAGCCGAAATATCATTCTAGAAACAGACTTGCAGCATCTTAAAGAAGTGAGCTACCCTCGTCGTAGGGTCAGAAGGAGAAAGCTAGGCCTCTGACCGCAGAAGCCCTGGTACCTCGGGAGAACTGCACTGAACAGGCGTGTAGAGTGGCGGGAGGGATAGAGAGCACACTAGGAAACGGAAATACTTATTTCCAATATGTTCTCTTTTCCTTTTAACTTAATCCTTCACTGAAGAATTAAGAAGCAATGGTCTTCAGAAAGAAGGCTCTCTTGACAAGTTCTGAATAAAGACCACACCACTTCCCTTTTCCTAAACAAAAGGCAAATTACATCATTTGGAAAATTTCCCTGGAAAACACAGAGGAATGAGCACTCTTCAGTTCCTAGAACACTTTTTTTTCCCCTTAACAATTCACATTCTTTAATTCATAAAACAATCTTTTAAAACACCATTTGTAGGGCTGGGGATGTAGCTTAGTGGCACAGGGCCTGTCTGGCAAGAACAAGGTCCTGAGTTAGATTCCCGGAACCAATAAATTAAAAAATAAGTAAAAATTTGTAGAAGACAAACTTGAACAGATGGAGCAGGCTCCCCAGCTGCGAAGTGGCCAGGGCGGGGTGCGAACCTATGCCTGGCTCACACAGCTGCACTAGGGGACGCACCGACTCCTCGAACCTGAGTCCAGGGAGGACGGTGGAAAGGGAATGTCAGCACGCCCCCGTTTGCTGTCTGCACATTTTTGCCAAATTAATGTTCAAACTGGCCTCCAGTACTTGTCACCAAATCCACACCATGAGGTATGCTTTTATACCTACTATGTGTAGACGCTCTAATGTAGTCTTTTTTAAAAAATTAAAAGAGAAACTTCCAAGGATCCTTTTACTTATACCATCCGCCTCTGTTTCTATTCTCACATCAAGCACACCGATGGCCAGACTGATCATCTGCTATCATGCAGATGGCCTTGTCCTTATCTATACCAAGCATATCATGAGCTGGCATTCCTCTGACAGGTTAGAGGGTTACAGCAGGACAGGAGATCATTCTGGTCTTTTCTTAGCAAGGATGAAAGAAAATCGCTTTCTATGCTGTTAAAATCCCCTGTTCCTGGACTGTCCCCACAGCCAAACTTTAAACCCACAGCCCCAAACATACAAGCCCGGAGCCCAGCCTCACCTCCAGGCTGCCCCTCTTGATGGGGTTGAGCACCAGCAGCTTCTTCAGCAAGTTCTCGCAGTCGGTGGACATGTAGAAGGGGATGCGGTACTTCCCGCGCAGGACGCGCTCCCGCAGCTCCTGGCAGAGCACACGAGAGCACTTACCACCCGCACTCTGGGCACGGTGGGCCGGGGCCACGGCACGGAGCCCCGGGGCGGTACCTTCAGGTTCTGGCCGTCAAAGGGCAAGGAGCCGCTGACCAGCGTGTAGAGGATGACGCCCAGGCTCCACACGTCCACCTCGGGCCCGTCGTACTTCTTCCCTTGGAAGAGCTCGGGGGCGGCGTAGGGGGGGCTTCCACAAAATGTGTCCAATTTGTTCCCCACTGTGAACTCGTTACTAAAACCAAAGTCAGCAATTTTAATATTCATATCAGCATCAAGGAGAAGGTTCTCAGCCTAAGAGGAAAATAATAAGAGGACAATGTAAAAAGCATACACTACACGAACACCTCCGTCTGCACCTGTTTCAGAACCCGAACTTCTACACTCTGTCTCGGTTTTTCAAAGTGATAGCAAATTCTATCTTCTAGTGATAGAAGTGCACTCGGGTACTGGGACGTGTGAGCCTGAATTTCCCCAGGAGAAAGGGAGAGCTCCGAGCTCTCCCCGCCACGCACATCTGCACCTACTCGGGAAAGCGGTTTCCCTTAGAAAGGCTTCCCTGGTCTACGTGCCTCCCTTTCTGATTCACGGGAGAACACCTGATAGCCACACCTTCTCTAGTCTGCACAGTACAGATGAGCAGGGCTGTCCTCCCTCAGAGGTGACCATGGCTATCCAGAGGCACCTAAGAGGCAGCCTCAGCAGACGCGAGGGGTCACCCCCACTGCACTCTTCACCTGCGTCCTCTTTCCCCAGCCAGGCCCTGCGTACGCGGGAAAGAGCGTGGGAAGCAGTGCAGTCGGTTAGACTCGGCTGCTTTCTGCTCTCTCCGCTCCTCTGAGTCCGGTTCTCTCCCTGAGAGACACGCTCAGGAGAAAGCAGGGAGAGTCGCTCCTGTATTTGGAGAGGCTGATTTTCTACAGCCTAAAGCAAAATCGTTCGAGGACAAAGTTTTAAATGTGCCTGTTCAAAGTGCAAGCAATTCAATAGAGAAGGGGCTCTGTGTGGGTTTTGTTTCAAAAGAGACTAAATGCGGGGTGGTGGGCTGGTGCATGCCTGTCATCCCACACTCAGGAGGCTGAGCGGGGAATTGCGAGTTCGAGACCAGTCTGGGCTACAAAGTGAGCTCAAGGCCAGCCTGAAATGCACAGTGAAACCCTGTCTCAAAAAGACAAAAAGAAAAAAGAAAAAGAGAGAGCTACTCCACAGATGTGCAGGTTCCAGCAAGGAGTAAAGCCTGACCAGTGCGAAAGCCATCCTGAAGCTGGTTCACACCAGCCCCCTGCTTTCATGGTCATGAACGCACTGAAAGCTCTGTCTATGGTGTGCCCCAAGGTGGAGGACAATCCTGGCTCCTCCACCGGGTTAATGTGGATTTGTGCCTCGACCTTATTTCTGTGGAATGGGAGCCTGTACATTTTATCTGGGGATAAATTTCCACATTTTTCTATGTAAGACAAATGACGTCATGGCGACTCAAGCTCTCTAGCTTGTGGTGCTAGATGGCTTCTCCCCATACTGTCTTCACTTCCTTGGTGGATGCAGTATTTGGTAAAGTCACTGTGAGACTCACAGGAAAATTACCTGCCTCAAACAGGGAGGCAACCGAGCAGCTCTGACTTTTTATCACAGATGTACAGCGCGGAGCCTTTTGGTTAGGAAGTCAGCAACTTACCTTAAGGTCACGGTGAACAACGCATTTCTGATGACAATACTGCACAGCAGACACAATCTGAAATAAATATTTGGATAAGTGATGGATTATTTCACAGTAGACACCACTCATTGTCCTACAACCAGCAGCTCCTACTGCAGGGAATTACTAATTTGGGATTCAAAGTAATATTTAGCGATTTCACTATTTCTTGAGTGCAGAACATTGCATCTATGACTGGGAGTAAACTTGCTTTTCAGTGTAGAAAACGTGGAAAAGTAGTATTAGAACATCCTAACCGTTTTCCGTGCCAGTCTGTGAAGATTTGTGCGCACCGTACATCGCCCTGTGTGTGTAGTGTGTAGTGCTGGCCCAGGGAGGACTGCAGTGTTGGAGTGACCGCCTTAGCGCATGTGATTAGCACCCGGAACAACGGCAGGAGTTTAAAAAGCAAACTGTGTCCTAGGAATTACATCAGTGCACTCAGGGCCTGCCTCTTGGTTTTAAGAGGTATGCAGCAATATCTTAAATTTATCTGCTCAAATGTAGAAAAACAGGAAACATTTTGAATCCTAAAAATACCCAAATATCAAAAGAAAAAAAGGGAAAATGAAATTTAATCTTCTAGGGCCAGGGATATAGCTCAGCGGCACAAGTGCCCACCTGGTAAGCACAAGGTCCTGGGTTCAATTCCCAGTACAAAAAAAGAAAAGAAAAGAAATTCCATCTTCTGTCTGTCACCAACTCAGCCGGGCAGAGAGTTCTATACCTGTGACTATGTCCATGTGGAGACCTGAGCTTTAACCACTGCAAGATGCTCTTGGGGGACACCCAAAATTGAGGACATCCTAAATCACTGGGGCTAAACAGTAAGGACCCAACAATTTAAAGGCTAAAATATAAAATGAAATAGATTATTTAAAAATTTCTCTAACAGTGTTTTATTTGATAACAATTGTGTGAATCTGACAGCAAGAGCTAAGTGGTGTTTTGTACACTAACGAGGAGCTCTAGGGGTGAGAAAGATGGGCCCTTTGCTACCAGCGGAGCCACCAGTTCTGCGGACTCGGCTGAGTGTGAGTACAGGTGGAATACTGAGTGTGGGTTAGTGATTTACCAATGGAGACAGAGACAAGGTTTTAAAAGAGTAAGTGTGATGTGGAGTAGGGTCACGCTGCGGGAACACGGGCGGAGAGAAACTTCAGGCAAAGTGAAACTGAGATTTCAGCATGGGGAAATTATTCCAATGTACACTACAACAGTCCAAAGACAGATGACACCAATGGAAAACAAAATCACCAACGCACAGGGAGTAAGACATAAATCAGTCAAATTCATGATGCAGTTTACCGAGTTCCCGTTAAGTGCAAGAAAATGTGCTGGGTTCTATGAGGGAAAAAAACGGACCCTTCCTGGCCCTGCCCTCCAGGAGCTTCCAATCTGATTCAGAAAGGAAACACGGGTGTGATTATAATTCAAGGCAGAATCACATAAGCGGAGGTACAAAGAAGTAAAAGAATCACAAAAAACAACAATTTCAGTTGGAAATACTCCCCGGAATGGGTGTTATTTGATTCAACTGTCCTTGAAGGGCAGACACAGGTTTAAATGCTGAGATCTGTGGGAAACAGTGAGGTGTGGGGTGGACTGTGGTCATGCTGAGGGCCCACCCAGTCTCTGGAGAGCCGAGGGGAAGACAGGGATGGAGTGGGAGTGATGCCCTGCCAGACAGGCCAGTAAAAGACTCCCAATTTCAGATTCCAGGCAAGCAGATACTGCAGGACACTAAGCTCGTTTATGGGGGGTGATGTGAGTGTTAGTGTGTCTCTAAAGTCACAAACACCTACAAGGTCAGCTTTCCTAAGCAATGCTTCAAAGTCCTCACACCCTTCTCTCATTAACGTATGCTTGTCATGCACAAGACATCCACGCTAAAGTACACTAGTGCATGCACTCTAATGGGCACACCACGTGGCATACACTATGCCATGAGCACAGCCAGGCTGTTCTGGTATCGTGGCTGCAGGACCGTGCTGAGGCTGGCGCTGTCTCTCACAAGTCACACACCTGACGATCCAGGGCAGTCACCCTGGGTAACGATGTGGTCACCAAACACACCCAGAGGCCAAGTGTCCCCAACAGACAATGGTTTTTAGGAGAGCCGCACTCGCTCCAAAGCCCAAGAGCATGAGGAATGGAAGGGTGACTTATGGGGTGTTCTCTGGGACCTTGATTCTCCACACAGGGAGGAGCTCAAGCTGGCGTCCGGTGGGGGCTTTGCAGCATTTCCACAGCTGCCTGGCAGGGTGTACTTCCTGCCATGGACGGGGTGAGATGTTTGGGCTTCTGAACTGACCCCAGAACCCCGGACGGATGGACACAGGTAGCCAGGTTTCACTGCAGCATCCTTTCTAGAGCTGGATTCTCCCATCTCAGAAGGTTCTGGCCTGCGGAGGACGCAGGGCTTTCTCTGTGGCATGGCCATCAGGGCCCCAAGCACAGGATTCACAGGCAGCCCTGCACTGACCTTAAGGCCATGCATGCCTATGCTTTCAGAATGGGACATTTGTTGGGGCTGCTTGGTAGTTGCTTGTGGGTGGGCAGGCAGGGAAGGCTATGCTTTCGCTTGCAGTGCCCGAGGCTGGAATCAATACTCAGACTGCCAGCAGGCCAGGGGTCCCAGAGAATGCGGAGGCCCTGCACGGGCACCAGTGGCTAAGCAGCCTCCAGCTGCGCTGGTGTCCTTCCGTTCTCTCCTAACAGGGGTCAGGGACATGTATTCATGTGCCCTTGCTAATGCACAATGTCCTTTCACGATTACAAAAAAAGTCCATAAAATACAGAGAAAACAAAAATAAGCATAAACATGTATGTATTAATTCTTAAAACTTAAACTCATAAAGAAAAATAAGCTTCTAAAAAATAAACTTTCTAGTTTTGGTGGAAATGCCTATGAATATTAAGTGTATTTATAACAGGTAAGCAATTATACAGAAAATATTTTCCATGGTTTTATAATAAATGAATTCATTATTTGTCTATTATAAAACAAATTCATAATTATTTTGTGCTGGAAATTGAGCCCAGGGCCATTGTGCTGAGTGACATCCCCAGTCCCTTTCCACAATGTTTTATGTGGCTCTCATGAGGTGGCCAGAGATGGCCTGATTCTCCCACCTCAGCCTCTCCAAACATCAGCAGCGTGGGGTGTGCACCACCACGCCTGGCTACTTTTACACTTTAAATAGCACTAACTGGACCCTGAACTTCTGCAACATGAAGATGATAAACCTGAATTCACAATGATCCATATGCAAAGTCAGCATTAGTGATTATTAGAGCTGCATGAATCTGCTTTCTGGTCAGTGCTGGACCACAGCAGGGCCCAGGCGTGCTTGCTGGGAAATAGCTTTGCCCAGCTTCCTGTCCTGTCCACCAGCAAAGGCGGCAGGTGTGGGAACACAGCAGGCAATTTCACAGCGTTCCAAGCACAGCTCTCCACACTAAGTATGTTTTCGGTCAATAAAGAAAACTAGCAGACTAAAAAGGAAAAGGTTAAGTAGCAATAACCTCCAAAACAGACATTAACTGAGATTCCAATGGAAATAATTAATGCCAATTGGTATTTTTTTCTGGTCTGCTACAAACTAAAACTACTGTGACTGATACTGGAAAAAAAGATGTTTAAAGCAGTATCTGCAGCACGCAGCGAGCTGGGCTCCCACCCCGGCGGAGGGAAGAACTCCCTGGCACAGGGCTATCACGGTTCTCGACCTAACGTGGCTTCCACATCACCGGCTGTCTGGAGGTCACAGCAGTAATGGCCGGGTGTGTGTTTGGTATAGAGCATTTCACAAATTGTGCTTCAAAAAGCGCTAATTCTGTAAGACCTGAATCGCACAGACTTTACACCCCGCGTCTCCCCATAGTGCATGTGGAAAACACAGTGTCAAGGAAGTTAAACAAACCTTCCTCCCTCCCCTCTCCAGGGAGAGTCTCGCTGACTGTTTAACATGTTAACCCGAGTCACTCCCTTAGCGGGGGTCTCTAACCAGTTTAACTGCTGAATTAGTGCCCTGGTGACAGACAGGAGAGGCGGGGAACAATTTGTAAATGAAAATTTTAAATTCCTGGAGGGGAAGTTTGGGATACTAAAAGTTATCCATTGCAGTTTACATTAATATTTTATGAAAAATCTGCAATTGATTAATGATTGCTATAAGAATTAAGTAGGCTTACTTTTCCTATGTCAGTCCTAAAAATTAAAAATAAAACCCTAGATGATGTAAATTATTTTTCTTTACAATTTGCATAACAAATCATGTTGGAATTTAACTGCAAATACCAATGTCTTACCATAGTCTTCAGGTCACACTCACAAGATTCTCTGCCTGAGGTTAAATGAAATTATCTACATTCTTAAAATCTATAAAGAATTTCAATTTATAATTAATTATAAAAGCAAATAATACAATCACCTCTTTACACAGTACACAACCAAACTCTATATATAATGCTTACACAGCTGGATAATAAGTGCTGGATACAGGTGTCAAAGGATCAAATGTTTCTTTTTTATCTTGGTCTGGTATGTATTTCTAAGACTCAGAGTTAAGGTGAGTCTCACAAAAGTTCACTGTTTATCACCATCTATAAATAACCACATGCAACTGTTCCACACTTAAATTAAGGAAATTAGGTCTTTATTTCCGGGAGTTTCTCAGTCTTGAAAAGTGTAAACAAGCAGGCATGTAACTCTTTAAAATGGGTGCCTGAGGTCCAGCTGGTGAAACTGTCCACTGTACATCACTAAACACAACAGCACAACAAGGTTGAAACTGCTTCCCATACCTGCCTAAATTTTGCACGGGCCTCTTTTTCTTTCATTCTTCCATGGGCGACTAGGTAATCAAATACTTCACCTGCATCAGAAAGGCAGAGCAGGCAGTCAAACACGGTTAACAACAGAAGCAATATCAAGTTTTTCCCTCGTTTTTACAGAAACGTCGGACCCATGATTTTTTTATGTCTATATAAGTCACAAACCAAATAATGAACAGAAAAAAGGAAAAACACTACATAGGGCATTAAGTATCTGTAGCAGTTTACGATTTAGCAAAACTCTTCAAAAATGTGTTGTAAAAACATAAGAAAGAAGACTCGCTTTCTGCTTTCAAGCGTTATGTACAAATACAGCCAACTCTTTATTATGCATCCCATAAAGGGAAGCCAGGGTGCGGGAACGCATACTCCACAATGGCCTGGTATTGAGCCTCCATTGCAAACAAACTAGACACCCCTCTTGTAAATTTACAAATGGGAGCCTTGGTCAAATGGCATCTCACTCCCCGCCTGACTTCTTTCTTTGCCTTCCTAGGCCAATCATGCTTAATGTCACTCCACTTGTGTACTCTGGCGGTTAACACCAATTACACAGGCTGAAAGAGTGAGCTTCCAACCTCTGGCCCGTCATCAGCATATCTGTACTTCATTTACATCCTCTTCGTGCCAAACACAAAGTGCAAAAGCAATAAATTCACTGAAATAATCACAAGTAGCTAAATACTGGATAAAATTCCTATCAGATCCATTTCTTTACACAGTTATGTTTTAAATTTTTCTCTGGGTGGTTTAGTAAAACAAATGAATCTTTAATTACAATATTAGAAATAAAATATCTAAGTGATCACACAGAACGCTGGGAACAGAGGAACGAATGGATGTTCCAGGTGATTCATCAAAGGAGTTCATCTGAGATCTGTGTTAGTAGATTTCGGTTAACCCATCATGTCCCTATTCTAGACATGTGAGTTTAGGCTGGGAAGGACATTTAGGGCTTCCAATTTTGGTTCTGCTCTCAGGAAGCTGGACATTCACATGGGCCAGTCCCACTTACCATGTACTAGGCACCTAGGACATGCTTTCCCCATGACCACGCAGTCTCGTGGGCAGAGACGCTGTCTGTGTTCCCTCGTGCGTTCTAGCTCTTAGAACTCTGCCTGGTAAGCATCTCGTAAACACTGATTCCGTGATTGCAAGAAGGGAAAACAGCACCCAGAGTAGACCTGATACCTACTTTTAATGGACTCCTTTGGATTAAATACTGTTCAAAATCACAGGGGCTGGGATTTAATTCAGCGGCATAAGCTCCTGCCTTGCAAGCAGGCAGTCGTGAGTTCGATCCCCAGTACCGATAAAAAGAAAAAAAAAGTGTAAAAAAAAAAAAATCACAAAGGATTTCCCTGACTGGGATCCAAGGAAGACAGCTCCTCGGGGAGCCAGAACCAACTCAGCAAGCCCTGGCAAAGGGGCAGCTGTTTGCCTCAGCCCTGGCCATCCAGATGCCCAGTGCGATGCTGTTTCTATAGACCACCCCCGCCAGCCTCACTGCAGTGTCCGGGAGGCTGGCAGTGCCCCTGCTGGCCTCGCCAGTGCACCCTTTATTGACAGCAATAGAGAGTTGACTGTACTTGCGTCAATCTGTTCTCAGGTCACACTAGCACAGCCTAGGATTCCTTATGTCACAGCGTGTCTCGTCCCTTTCTCTAAACTTCAGATCACTAGCAGGAAAATGAAAAAAGGAATCAAAGTGAGCTGAAAATAACATTCAGGGTTCTCATGCTGCCACACGGAAAAGACAGAAAAACAGTAGTTCATTATATGCTTTTTGAAGGTTTATAAATTTTACTACAGATTTATATTTTATGTAAATGTGCCTGATTTTAAAAATCCTATAATAATAAACCCTAAGGGGCTGGGATTTAGCTCAGCGGCAAAGTGCCTGCCTGGCAAGCACAATGTCCTGAGCTCAATGCCTGGTGCCACGATAACCCCAAAAGCAAAAAAAAACCCACTAAGAAGCAAGGTTTTCAGATTAAGTTAAAAAAAAAAACCTAAATTGAAAATTTTTCGAGGAGAAAACAAACTTTGCAAAATATAAGCCTACTAAAGCATTTAACCTGCACAAGTAAGTGGAAAGCAATTAAATACATTTAATGTTTATATTTTTTGAAATCTGAGAGACTATATAAAAATGTAAGTTTAGATGCTGGAGACTGAAATAAATCCTCCTTACTCCAGTTGATATAAAATCTTCATCACCATAGAAATCTACACACCTTTTTGTTAAGAGCATAACATTACGCTCCACACTATTTTCCTACTGCTTAGCAGAAAGTTAATCAGTCAGATAATTCCAGTTGCCTCTATTTTTCCAATTTTTCAGATTCTGTGAGCCTTAAAGATACTCCTTTAAGTATTCTCCTCTGTTTATTAAATTCTTTAACTCTGTAAGTTTTAAAGACCTTTCTGAGAAGTACTGATAATAATTTTGAGTCAATTTGTTGCTCATTTAAAAGAAAGTAGAGGTGATAAAAGTGACTTTCTATTGTGCATCAGTATTTAAAAATCCCTCATATTTCTGACACTATGAAAGCCAAAATACACATCATGTGTCCCTGTTCACTCAGTCCTCTAGCTTAGGAAATGTACACTCTATGGTCTACATTTGAAGATCTTATGGATTATCCCTGAGATGTGTGCACACTGAGAATCCGTCATATGTGAACACTCAGTGCAACACACCACTGATCTAGACTGTGCTTTTACATGGACTTTATTAAATATGCTCTGCATTAGAGACGACATGCTGATAGCCAAGAGCTTCCAATCAAAATACCATCACACATTATTTTTATAAGTAAATAAGCAAATTGAAATTTTCACTTAGTTTTAAAAATGTCCCTAAATATTTTTTTAAATATCAAAAAATTCTATTTATAGTGGAAGAATCAAAACATCTTGAAAGCAAACACTCAATTTTCCTAAAGCTATCATTTAAGGGTATCTTAATGAAATTATACAAATGTAATAAAGAACTAGCAAATATCACTAATTCTATTTCAAGTCTCTTCATCCTTACCCCCACTCGCATATTCCATGATTAAATAAAGGGTCTTCTCTGTTTCAATAACTTCAAACAATTTCACTGGAAAGAGAAATTAGAGATAGAACTCCATCACTGTTAGCACCGAATGCACAGATTTTAAATAAACCTAAGGTAACACTAGGCCTGTGGAGAAAATAGAGTGTATTGGCTAAAAATGATTAATTGTAATCTCAAATACAAAAAGTTTCTCAAGAGTTACTATATCTATAGAAGAAAACGCTTTACTGCAAAGCAACTTAGAGTTAAATTCTTGAGTTACAAAGTTTCTGAGATAAAAAAAAAAACTGTATATTTTCTAATCAGAATAAGAAAAGAAAAAGAAAAATTCTAAAACCAGAGAAACAATTTTTAAAAAATGCTTAAAAAGAGACTGCTATAGTGAGGGATCATAAAATGTTAAATAATCTTTGGCATTAAAACAAAATATCCCTAGGTACTATCATAAAAGTTTCTGGTAAAAACAAAACTAGTTTAACAGTTGAAATTGTTTACCACCAATAATCACATTAATAGCCATACACAGACAAGATTTTTGAATACTCACGAAGAAGTATTTGAAAATAAACAGATTTTTAAAGAATTGTTCTTACAATTTCAATAAAATATTTTATATAGTAAATATACCTAATCAATAAATTTATTTATAATGATGAGAATTAGAAATTCACCAAATTGAAATTCACTACTTATTTCTTGAAAATGCATAGTTCTTGTGCTTATCAACTATGATCAAACCCAAGTGTATATTATTAAAATATCTGGAATTAATTTTTTATGAATACTTCAAATGGCATGCACTCGTTATATGCAGAGCTGTAGTATGAAGACACAAAACATTGTGTGCATTAACCCCTACTGTACCAATTATTTCAATAATGACCAAAATACAGCAAAACGGTAGAAACAGCCATTCAGAGCTTTGGTAACCTCCTTATGAGCTGTTTTTATCCAAAGTGTCGCTTTCCCAACCTATCACTTTCCTTTACTCATACAAAGCATTCTTAAAAGCGTATCTGTTAAAATCTGCTCAAATTACAGAAAACACTGTCACTGTGTACATACATTTCTTACCTATATTAGGATGATTCAGTATCTTCATTATTCGTACTTCTCGAAACAACTGTCAAAGAAAACAGGTGGATACATTTCTGTTTAACAAAACACTGAAGCAGAGAGCCATTTAAAACAGTCATAAGAAAAACATCACCTTTGTAAAAGCACAGAATTCAGGCAGTGAACTGAAACACATGTGTTTCTCGGCCCCAGCTCTGCATGGAGATGCTAACTTCACTGAGCCTCCATGGCTAAAAGAACCCTAAGTAGATCAGCTGGACAGCCCTGTCCTGCAGGCTGTGGGTGCTGCTTCTGAGGGAACTGGCACCTTACCCAACCCTTCCTGACTAGGAACAAGAGAACATTTCACGGAAGGGGAATGAAATCTTCACCCAGAAGCAGTCTTCCCTGGGGGCCAGCTCCTTAAGGTCACCTCTTTTGTTCATGAGACATTTTAATGAGGTGCAGGAACAATTGACCCAGAGAATACAAGGAGGATCCGCCAGTTCCCCCTCTGTGCTGTTTGTGAGCGTGTGTTACAGTCGAAGTCAGGCAATTTGTTCAAGAAAATAGAACCACAAGTTGATGATATTTGGAAAAGTCTATATTAAGACACATGTTTTTTGTCAGAAGAAAATCTAAAATTAGTGTTTCCAGAAATGGGGCTTCTCTAGAGACGATCTATAAATGGCTAAAAAGAACATGAGAAGATGCTTGACTTTATTAATCTTAGGGAAACACAAGTCTAAGTCACAACGAGGGACTTCTCATGCTCATCTACTATTTTTTTTTTTTTAAAAGCCAGACATGGTGGACACAACTGTAGTCCCTGCACACTGGAGGCTGAGGCCGGAAGGTCATAGGTCGAAGGTCAGCCTGTAAACTCAGTGACTCTGTGAGACCCATCTCAAGACGAAAACCAGAACAACATCGACAACAACAGCAAAAGTATAAGACACTCGTGAAATTGGAGCCTTCTGCACTGGTAAAATTCAAACTGTGAAGCCTCCATTACAAACCATATGATGCTACAGAAGATGGTGTTTCTAACACGGTTAAAACCAGGATTACCGTGACTTGGAAATTGTACTTCTGGGTATTTCCCATACCATTCAGCTTTAAAAAGGTAGGAGATTCCGACACAGGTCATGCCATGAGTGATCCTGATAGACAGTTCTGAGTGAAGTGACCCAGTCGGGAAAGGACGCTGCTAACTGTCTGCACTCCCACAGGAACCTGCGCAGAGCAGTTACATAGAAAGATGTTGCCCAGGGCTGGGCGGCCAGGACTGGGAGGTCACTGCTCCACCAGTACAGAGCATCCTTCAGGAAGAAGAAAACAGCTCTGGATCTGGATAATGAGGGTTTCCACTGATGCTAATGCACTCACTGTCATTGAACTCTGTGCTTTAAAACGGGTAAAATGGTGGGTAAATGTCATGGTTGATGCATTGGGTCAATTTGAGCAGCTTAGAAGTTTAACTGAGAAACTCAGCAGGCAGACAGGGTTCTTACTTGGTAAACATCCTCAGCCTGTGCAAGAGGAGGGCAAGGAGACTTGTGAGTGCTACACCTGCTCTGGAGCAGGGATGGCCTGTGTATGATACAAGGAAGAGAAGAGGTTGGTTCCCATTTTGCTCTGGCTGCTGCCTTGAAGAGCTGCCCCTGTGCCATGCTACCCTGCCTTGGAGCCAGCTGATTATGGACTGAAACCTCCACAAACAGTAAGCTAAATAAACCTTTTCATTTTGGTGTCAGGTATTTTGTCCCAGCAACGACAGAAAAGTAACCAAGACAGTAAACTTTATGTATATTTTATTGTATTTTTTAAAAAGTTGTATCATATGCAAAAACACATCAATAAAATTTCATCCCAATGGATAAAAGGCTCCTTAAGGGTTACCTGCAACAGGAAATTGCATCCTAGCTACCCTCAATACAGCCTGCACAACATCCAGGAAGTCTGTCTGTCTGTGTGTCTGTATATCCACACACCCACAGAAATTCATTTTATGAAGTCCATAACAATTATATACTGCATGTCAGTAAGTAAAATATAAATGCAAGATAATTCATGCTCAAGACAGCTCCTTCCTCTACGTGGGAAGCCCATTCTTGCTTTAAATCTGGGTTAAAGAGCACACAGCTGAATCTCTGGGTGACCTTTGCCACCAGGAAGTCTCCCCAGGCTCCAGCAGGACATCTTCCCAAGTGTTGCCCGGGTCTTCTGTCTTCCCACAGCACTGCCGCTCTGTCTTCTGCTAGATCCCTGCGCTCCCTTCAGTCTTCAAATATGACCCTCCCCAACGTTGTGGTCTCAGCCCCCTTACCTACCTACTCTTCTCGGGGGCTTTATCTTGGTGTTATGGCTTAGATCTGAAAGCCTCCTGTGTCCAGCAGTGGGACTTTGGGAAGGTGACTGGGTCATGGGGCCCTATGTCCATCAGTGGACTCACACACTGAGTTCATAGCTCACTGTGATGTCAGGAGGTGCGGCCTGGTTGGAGGTGGGTCCCTGAGGATGTGAGCTAGGATGCATTCTTGTCTCCAGCTCCTCCCTTCCCTTTGCTTCCTGGCTGTCATGGCTGAGATGATCATGGTGCTCCACCACGCTGCTTCTGCCTTGGAGCCATGGACTGACCCCCTGAAACGTGAGTTGAATTAAACCTCTCCTCCTTTAACTATCGAGTCTCAGGTACAGGAAGGCTGACAGTTCCATGAAGCGTGTATGACACCAAACTTTAATTCCTCATCCTAAGCTCTCTTTTATCTCAGCTTTTGTCTAAGTAGCCTCCCACCCCAACACTTCCAACTGGCTGCCTCACAGGACTTCCAGCCTGATACTTGATTTCTCCTGCCAAATTGGTGTCCTCCCCGTGCCACCAAAACGAAAACCATGATCGTCAGTGTGCGGGGCGGCGCTGAGAGTCGAGGCCCCTCTCGGGATGCTCTGGTTCCCCGAAGCGCTGCGCACCGCCCTCAGCACCTCTCTTGGTCCCTGCACTGGCTGACGTCCTTCCCACCAGGTCTAGGATAAACCAGAATAAATTGTGCTTTTCCCTACTTTAGGGTTATAGACTATTTCAAATCTGTTAAAAGTACACAAGCCAACATAGCACCTCTGAATCTACCAAGTTTATCAAATCACGGTAATATTCTCCATTAAGATGTTATACTTGCATCTTTTATTTTTAAGAAAAACAATGAATTTTGGTTATTTATATTTGCATTAAATATTGCTGGTGTTAACCATGCCACTCATAGTTAGGACCCATCCCATCTCTGTCTTCCTTCCTGTCCTAGACATAACCCTGACCTCAGTCAGGACATACCGCCACGCATGCGCTCATGGTCTTTCTCCAGGTTGTTCCTGTTACTTCCTGTGTTTTAAATTTTAGGTAAATGGAACCATGCTGAATATCTCCTCCTAACCTCCTTTCTCATTCACTGCATCCTGCCTGCAGGTCCCTTCCCATTACACAGAGAGCTGGTTCATCTATCACAGTGTTCTGTTGCACGATACAAAGAAACTATAATTTACAATCGCGCCCTGAGTGTGCTTACACTAGCCAAACTAGGACTGAGCTACCGTGAATGTTTCTGTCATGTTTCCCTGAAGCAGGTACCTAGAAACGACTCTGTGAGTGGGGTGGAAGCGCCTTCAGCTTCGTGAGGTCTTCCCAAATACCAGTCCTCCACCTCACCCTGCATCTGAAGGCACAGGGTAAAGGGACATGGAGCACCAGCTTGTGTCTGAACCACTCTGCCCGGGCACCAGCAGCCCTGAGGGCGAGCGAGGACTTCCAGTGCCTGATGGTTCCACCGACTCCTCTGACACAGAGAGGCGGCCTCCACCCCTGGAAGGCCCGGGTGCCCTGGATTCCTAACCTCCCAGCCGGGGCCCACAGGTGTAGAAAGCAACTATCAGCCGTGGGCTCTGCTGACCATGAACACTGGTGACAGAGGGCTGGCCACTGCCTTCCTCAAGTAGGGGAACCAGGAAAGGCGAGGAAGATGTTTACATACACGTGCGCGCACCCACACACACATGCACATACACGGCTCATTCACATGTGCATGTGGCTTCATGTTTCAGAGCAGTTTTAGACTGATGGAGAGTACAGAGCCCCCATCTAGCTGCTTACCCTGACAAACCCACACCACTCACCATCCCGAAGCCCCAAAGCGGTGCCTTTGGCATCATCGGCAAACAGCACTGACTCCCACCACACCTGCCCCCAGAGCTGGCATTGGAGTCGCTCCTGGGGGGTCCTCATGTGCACAGATGATGGCAGAGAGCCCCCCTCAGATTGTGCAGAACAGTTCCACTGTGCTGAAGCAGCCTGCAAGCCACCTGCTCACCCCATGGTCCTGCCCATGCAGGTGGCCACAAGGTCTCAGTGTCTCCACAGCTCTGTCTTCCACAATGCCACACAGGTGGGATGACACAGGATGTGGCCTTTGTGGCTGGGATTCCCTTGCTCAGGATTATGCATTTCGGGTGCCTCTATGTCCTTTTAGGGCTCGGTAATATTTCACTGTCGGCACACAATGCATTTCACTCATCTGCTCACTAACTGAGACAGCTTGGCTGCTCCCAGGTTTCATTAGCTATGACTCAGCTGGTGACAGCGCTGGTGTGCGGACTTTGGAGTGCGTGAGTTTTCAACTCCTTTGGTAAAGACCCAGAGTGCAGCTGTCAGGCTGCAGGGAAATGGGTGTCAGTGGTGCAGGACAGAAGCCCCATTCCGCATCCTTCAACTCAGAGGAGCCCAGCCTTGCTGTTATGGATTAAAAACTCGTGGTCAACTTAACGCCAGCTGGATCACATTAGCGTGGTGCTGAGCGTAGATGTTCCACCTGCGGAAAAAGATGTGGAGAAGGCAAAGCTGTGTGTCGAGGTGTGGAGGCACCGTGGGTTCTCCTATGAGTTGCTATTTGAGCCGTTGGTTCTCCTGGAGAAGCTCTGGTCCTCACATTGAGCATTGCCTCCTGGCTCCGGAGAGGAAGATGTGTGCCGCTTGGTCTCCAGGATAAACTTGTCATGCTGGCTTCCTGGCATGTACTC